GAGAGGTTTTCACTCACACACATCCACCTCTCAGCACCCTGACCTAACTGGTGTTGCATTCTTAAAGTAATGGACTTTGTTTCTTAATCTGCCGCCTCTCACTGAATTTGATGTTCTTCCTTTGGGATGACACTTCCAAACCTGTTTAAAGAGAGGGTTTTCCTTCTCTCAGGAGCTGACAGTGTCAAGTCTGGCCAATCCACCATCCCAGGACTCTACCTTTCTGGCCTCTAGTAGGGGTCAAAACAAAAGTCCAGAGCTCGGGTCTCTCTTGGAGCTAAGGTCAATTCTAGGTCGTGTTTCCCCAACCTAGACAGCATTCCCTGCAGCTGCCAAATATAGGCCCTGGCCAAGCCCTGCTGGAAAGCAGGAGGCCCGGGGAATGAAATCCCCAGTGAGGGATGTAGGCCAAAATGTGGTCCACCATGGCCCTGGGCTGGAGCCGAGGAAAGTTGTGGCCGTGGAGTGGCCCATGGACAAGGCCTCAGTGAGCTCCTGCCCCCCACGCCCCTGCCCATCGTGGCTCTGGCCCCAGCCCAAGCCACGGGACCCACTGCCCGCACCCTCAGCAGGCCCAGGTTCAGCGCGGAGCTGGGCGACCGGCCGCGACGTACTCACAGGACACACAGGCAGTACACGCCTGGGACGCTCTCGCTGTCCCTCAGCAGATAGCTGCCATCCAGCCCCGTGGCAAGCAGGAGCTTCTCCCCAGTCTCCCTGCTGATTTTGCCATGATACACAGTCACCGCGTCCATGGCCAGACGGACTCCTGGGCGGGCTGAGGCTGGGGATGGAAACAGGGAACCAACACAGCTGCAGCAGCCCGGCCCCAGGCAGCCACCTGACTCGCAATACACGCAGATGTGCAAAATAGAAAGAAGCACCCGAACAACAGGATGTTGTCTACCTGCCTTAAAACCTCCTGTTCACACTTCAATTAAAACCAGCTCAGCAATTTAGCAGCTTGATTCTACTAAACTTGCCACAGGGTTCGATCTCCTGCTCCCCAACACAAGGGTTCATACGGAGAGGGGAGACGCCTTGGAAGGAGGACCTCACAAGATTTGGGCCGTAGTGCCAACACAGACCCTTGCACATAGACACGAATGCTTGCTAATGCTTCTGTTCTTGCAGTTTTCTCAGGGGCCACCAGGGATGACTTAGCTTAACTAGTCCCCACAGGGGTTGATGATAGAGGCAAGTCGTAAGGCAGTCTGTCAGTATTTGGGCCCATCATGTGGGGCAGAAACATAGAGACAAAATGAAAGGATCAAAAGCCCTGAGAACACTGAAACTATCAATACTGTCAGTGTGCAATCGCTGCTGAACGTGGCCGCGAGGCTCCTCCAGAGTCGGAGATAGTAGGTGAACAACAAATTCTAGGAAAGTTTTTCTTCTCCCTCCTCCTCCAACCTCATGTCTTGAGCAATCTTGGTCCTAAGCAAATACTGTCCCCACCCCCCCACATACATCTCATCCAAGATATAAAAGTGCTGGTTGAGATACAAAAATCACAACGTATGTCCAAAGATGTCCCAGATTTCTCTCTTTAATGGGCCTTTGATGAATGAATCATTTAATTGGTGCTCTATCTTTATACGGATTTCTATGTTCCCTTTGATGTACAGGGCCCCTCTTAGGTATTTTTGGTGATAATATCCATTTTAAATCATTTTGCAAATGTTGAAAATTGTGCTGTAAGTTTTATTCTCTGCTGTTTCTGGCAAATGTTTTTCTTCAAATGATGCTAAACAGCCATTGAAAAAAAAACCTGTCACTAATTTTTTTTAAACCTTTCAACCATCATTTCCTTCTCTGAAACAAATCACTGCTTCTTTTTCAAAAAGTGCTAGGTAGGTAGCATTTCCCCAAAGCTTCCTTCATGCTCACTATAGTAAGACTTTGTTTAATGCCTGGAGCTGAGCAATCGTATACATGTACCTCTGGATTATGTAAATTAAAATTGGAATTTAATAGCTGAAGCTATGTTGTTTGTTGTATGCCCTCCACAGCTTCAGTGCCTAGATCCCTGAGAATATGGCAAGGCTGAGAGCTCGATAGGGAGAACAATATTTAAATCCTCACATGTCCTCCAAATGGATGGGATGCACGGAGCTGCCTTGCACCAAAGGCAGATATTTGTTCTCTATCTACTAGGGTTAATAACAATCCTCTAAGATTTCAGTGGCAGCTGGTAGCCCCTCTCTTTCTGGATTGAAGAGTGACCAGCCTTAGCAGCTACAGTGAAAACGTAAGCCTCCTACAATCATTTTCAACACCAGAAAAAAATTTGTAAAACACTCAAGTTGATGTTTGGGAATGGATTGGGGGGCAGGGAGGCAAGATTATGTCATCATCTTCCTAGCTCACATGTTTTTGATCAACTCCATCTCCCACTCCTTTTCATGCTTTAGATGAGGAAAGAAATTAATCTGATACATGAATGCCTAACTCCATTATTAACACCTTGAGAAGGATCCTAGTCTGTCCTGAACTCTCTGTATTTTGAGCAAATGGCTAGCCCAGAGAAATTAATCACAAAAGCTCAAATATGAAAGGAGCAGAGAGGCAAATGGGATCCCCTTACATCAGGCCACATGGGCAATAGCCCACCAATGAGGTAAACTGTGAGAACATTCAGTATCACATAGGTAAAAACCAAACCTAACCTTTCTTGTCTCTGAACAACTCTGAGCAAATCATCCACAAGCTGAGGAACAGAGCAGCCTGGATCTGACAGCCCAAGCGTACCATGCATTCTTCTTTTCTCTCTCTGTTTTGTTCTGTGTTGCTAAAATAGCACACCTGTCAAAGCAGCCAGGTACGACAGGGTTCAGTACAACTAAAATCACATTAGAAAAAAGGAACAGATAAATTATAAGGTAATAGTACAACTCTCACATCCAGTACCTCATTGTCATCTCACAAGCAAGCTGACAGCCGAGCCAGCCCACTGGTGCAATGTTGATGAAAAATACTGACATCTTCACTCTAGCGCGATACCAGTACTAAAGCTGATTTTAGCGAATTCAAACCTTGACACTGAGCTTCAAGCATAGAGAACAGAAGAACTGAAATGGCTCTTTCTCCTCTTTCTTCCCATATACACAAGAGAAGAAAGGAGAAAAAACTAAAGAAGAGAGTAATGGAAATAACGGAGGAGCCAATAGAGAAAGAGCTAAGGAGAATGGGCCCCCGAGTACAAGTATAATCCACTTAGGAGAATTATTTTCTTGTTTATTATCTCCCTCCACTAGAATGTCAGATCTATGATGGCAGGATTCGGGTCCTTTCTTCACCCCCGTGTCGTCATATTCTCAGTGCATGGCAGGTGGTACACACTACCTATGTTTGTTAAGAGTTTGAATGAATAAATGAAATTCATGCTTTCAAGAAAAAAAAAAGAAAAATACCAAAATGGTCTTTTATACACACACACACACACACACACAAAAAAGAAATATATTGGTTCTGCATGCCTCTAGCTCATCTTTGAAGTGGCAAGATGAGTTGCAAAGACCACTAGTCCAGTAATTATGAGAGTCAAACTATATATCATGTTTTGCCACCAAATCACTTCCTCTCTCTGGGCCTCATTTTCTCCATCTGTCAAATGAAGTTGAACAAGATGATCCACAAGGTCACTTCTAGCTTTAACTTTTTACAGTGCTATAAACAAAAGCCAAATGCATTTTAGAAAAAAAACAGATGGGAAATGGATTGAGCTCATTTATGTGTAAAAAGCAAGATCTGCTTTCTCACGTCGCACTCAATAGGGGGGGGGAATTTTTGTTCCTGTTGTTTTAAAATAACCCCAGAAGGAAAAATCACAAGATGAAGGAAGAGAACGTCACTGTTTCAAGAAAACTTCAACATGTTAGAGTATAGATGTCATTTAAATCAAATATAAAAGCATTGAAAGTTAGAAAAACTGTCACCCAGGGTTGAAAGTGTCTTCTTATCTAAACTTGTCACCTCCTCAAAGAGCAGAATGACAGTTACCAGAGGCTGGGCAAGGTAGTAGGGGTGGGGAGAAATGAAGTGAGGATAGTTCGTGGGTGCAAAAATATAGTTAGATAATTAAATAGGATGAGCAATATTTGATAGCACAATAAAGTGACTATAAACACCTTAGAGTACACTAAAAATAACTAGACGAATAAGATTGGAATGTTCCTAACACAATGAAATGATAAATGTCCGAGGTGATGGATTACCCTGATTTGATTCACATTTGTATGCCTGTTTCAAATTATCACATGTATCCTATAAAGATAAACAACTATTATGTACCCATAGTGATGAAAAATAATATATATATATTAAAAATTTAAAAATAAACTTATCACCTCCTAAGGTCTCTAAGAGGTGACAGAATTTTGCATCTGGACACCCTGTCTGAGGTGCTAATTGTCTTCATTTCAAATTCCCTAGCTATTCTCAAGCTGAGGTAGATTAAAAGAATTCTGCCAAGGGTGGTCAGTTTTATAGAGCGGATCTGACATTTGAAAATCTTTTTCTCTAACCTTTCAAAACTAACTTTGTTCTTCCACTAGCTCATCTATAGGTGTGAATTCTCCTGTGGCAGTGTTATAATATTGTCACCTGCGGTGAGTTTACACATTCTCTTAGCACTTACTAAAATTCACTTCCTTTACAAAAATGAGAAAAGAAAAAAAAATTTTAATGTCTGTTTTTTTTTAAAAGGAGCACCTCTTTTTGATAAGATCTGCATTTACCTAGGAAGCTAATTTTTCTAAATGCCCTTTTGTAAGTGAAAAGAGTTGTTGTGCTTATTTAAGCCTGTTTTAAATATATTTAGTATTTCAACCAACATTTATGAGCATCTACAGTAGGCCAGACATTACAGTAGTTAGTTTAGAAAGAAAAAAGCTCATAGTCTAGTGAAGCAGACAGACTAGCAAACAATCGCAATTTACTTGATAAGAGCTGAGATGGGGGAAAGGATGGGGCTTTAGGGGCATAAAAGCCTCACATCTAACTCAGTTTATATGCTAAACCAGCACAATCTATTCAACAGGGCAAGTTCTTTATCTTTCTGTTTTCTATGTACAATTGCTTTACTTGTCCTAATTTTACCTCCTTCATGACTCAAAGGAAGCCCCCTACTTCTAGTTGAAATTCTGCCTGGTTCTGAGATTTTATTCTTGGAATAATAGCAGTAGCTAATACTTGTTAACTGTATACTACATTCCACGCATCCTGCTCAGCACGTTGAATATATTATCTCAGTTTTTTATATCAACAGCCCTATAATGCAAATACTTTTATCCCCATTTTACCGACAAAGAAGCCAACTCAAGGTGGCCCAAGTGTTCAAGGTCAGGCCCAGGATTTTAACAGAGGCCACTGATTGCAGAGCCTGTACATTTCACCCACTATCCTCTTCTGCCTCCCAAAATTGTAAGGTCACTGCCCTGGACTGCCCAGAATTCAGTCTCCTACTAGCAACAGTAATTGGACTTCTAGAATGTTCTTCCTATACTTCAAGTGTCAACTGGCCCCATGCCCTGACTCATAGTGTGTTTATTTCTCGCTGTATTCCTTATCAGATCAAATACACCGTTGGAGCCTGGGCATCTTTGCCTACTATATCTTTGAAGCATCTTCAGAGTGAAGGTCTGTTTCCTAGACTCGCAGGTCTGGAATCTAGATCATCAGCTTATTCATATAAAGTAACAGAACAGTGTGTACTTTGGAGTTTGTTTGTTTTGTTTCATTTTTAAAGTGATCTAGGCATTTCCTTTTTTTTTTTTTTGAGACAGAGTCTCACTATATCACCCTAAGTAAGGTGCCGTGGTGTCACAGCTCACA